CTCCGGGGGGCTATCATTCCAGCAGTCGTTATAAGCTATTTGGGGAAACTCGGGGTTTTGGTGACTCAGCGCGGTAAGCGCTATTTATAAGTTGATGCCTTACTAGCTGGGCAGTACACTTCACTCAGATCAGTCGGCCCGAGAAGGGCAAAGAGTTATGTTAAGCGACAACAATTAAAAGAACTTTTTTTTTTGGAAAGGGAAAAGGTTAGAGCTTGTGCTAGAAGGTCTTAACGCGTATGCTAGTCAGCCCAAGTTTTATCTCAAAGAGTTGGAACACATTTCAGAGTAGATGGAGAATTTTAGGGACACTTCGTGATGGTAGACTGTTCTGGTTTTGGGTGAACCAGAAGCAATAATTCAGATATATGACCCAGCAGCCCTCCTAGCAGGTTATAGAATATCAGAACTTCATTATTACAGGATATGTTAAATAAGTAACACTGCGTGGCTAGGTATAAAATAAAGGAAAACTGGATGATGTTGAAAATTCCTATACAATATTCTGGAACAGGAAGGTGTGTGTGGTATTTATCATCAAAACTGCTGGCAAATATAAATTACACATTTACCACCCAATTTCTTTCTCCCCAGAAAGTACTGTAAAAATGTATATTACTGCCTGGCAGTCTTCTATAGTGTATAAGTGCTGCAGAAACAAGTATCAGTCACTGCTTCTTTTAGAGGGTTTATAGGTTTTATTTTTTTCTTTTCTCCCACTCCCAGCCCCCCACCCCACCCCACCACCATCATTCCAGTTTGGAAATCCAGGGGGGAAATGCTAAAAAAGAGCAATTGCTAAGCTGGCTTCACAGAGCCAACAGCTGACACCCAGCTTGCCTAGCCCTGCACAGTTTTGTGTAGGTGGTGTGACCTGAGGTGTTTCTCAAAAGAAAGAAGGTGGTGTCCTGGATGGCAAAAGTTAGGCCAGCTAGGAAAGGAGAGGGCTTCCCAAGCTGAGCAAGTAAAGCAGCATGTACAAAGGCCTGGAACTACAGAGAGAGAAGCATGGGACAAGAGGGGAGTGAAGAGGGCCATGAGAAAGGAAGCTGGACAAAGGCCAGGAGTTCAGACTTTAGCCTGAGACTTACACCTTTTTAACCTTTTTACAGACACATACCCTTTTGAGAACCCATGGAAAGTAATGTGGCCCCTCTCCATAAAAGCATACCTATAGACCTATATGACAATTTTGCATACATCGTCAAGCTGTTTGTGAGTAAAGGACTATTGAGCCTTAGGAGTAACACCTATGTGAAAGGGAGAACAAAGAAAGGATATTTTAATGGAAATGCATGATCAGGTGTGAACAAATTACAGGTCTCTGAAAAGATGACATTGGTTGGGGTCCTGGAAACTGGAAGATGGAATGTAAAACAGCCTGTGATCAAAGTAAGAAGGGATTGGGACCACAGCTGTGTACCTAATGACAGTGAGCTAGAGAGAAGAGGGATTCAAGAAGAGTAATTACAATGAATTGATGGGATGGAAAACTGGTTGTGTGGGGAAAGGCGGGATCCCCAGGTTCCTGGTCTAGTGTGTGGACTGGGAGGAGGAGGGGACCTCAGGAGGAGGAACCCTGTTTTGTCCCTGTAGAATTGGAGCTATCAGGGAACTATCCCAGCAAGGATGGCAGTAAAGTCTGGCTCTCTGGAGTCATTAAAATGCAGGTGGTAACAAGTTATGGGAATGTGTAAGCTGGACCAGAAAGGTGTGTCAAGTGAGAAGAGGTCTGAAAAGAGAACCCTAAGGAGTGTCCACATGTAGGAGAAGGAGAGGAGCCTGAGGAACCTTTCAAGGACAGTGATGAGTGACTGAAGACAGAGTGGTGTCCTTAGTGTATCACTTTGGTCAGTAAATCCTGCTTCCTTGATAAGGAATGAAAATATGTTGCATGTTTGGTCCCTTCATAAGACTGAAGTGTCTGTGTATTCTTTCAGTGAAAAAAACCTTTTTTTAAATGCACCTTTACAAAGATTTGATTTCAGAAGAGAGAGGAGGGCAGGAGATGATTAAATCTTGCTTTCTCTTCCTTTTTGAAACTAGGTATACCTAGGGGAGAAGAAAAGGAGAAATAGACTCAAGCTTTCTCTTTTCCCTGCTCAGACACTAAGGCTTTAAGGAAATGGAGTTTACATAGACAGACCAGGTCCCCATTATTGTGTTTTTTGTTCCTAATGAGACTTCAAAACTATACTTAATTGCCAACAATTAGTATTAGGAGGTGCTAAGATCTCAATCTGGCTAAAGAAACAAGGAAAAGGGGGCCGGGGAGAAGACATTTTCTTTTGCTTCCTCCATTTCCTTCCTACTTGTTACAGCTAACCTGAGCTAGAGCTAGTCCCTGGAAATGAATACAAGTACTTAACAAACCACCCCAGAACTTTGTGGTTTAAAACAGCATTACTTTACTTCTGAACATGCGACCTGGGTAGTAGTGCTCTGCAGGGATAGCTTGTTTCCAATGCACTTGGCCTCATCTGGGGCAGCTCATAGGCTAGAGGTTTGTATCATCTGAAAGCTTGTTCACTTGCACGTCTAGTGATTAGAACTCACTGATGACTGAGACCTTAGCTGGGACTATCAGGTCAGAACACCTACACAATGGCCTGTCTTTCTGTTTTTGGCTTTCTCACAACAGTGTTGCTGGGTTCCAAGTGTCCCAAGAGCCAGATGAAGCTGTATGACCTAATCTAGTCATGCAGCATCATATCCATCACATTGTTTGTTAGAGAAAAATCACTACTGCCATCCATATTATAGAGAGGGGAATTAGACTTTAATGAAGGAGCATCAAAGAATTTGCAATACTTAGTTTAAAATCACCACACTTTTTAACTTCAGATAAGTAGATTTATAAACGATATATTGTATATTAAAACTATTTAAACATAAGAAGCCAAACAATCATCCTCTTTTGATATCATAATAAGATATAAAATCCCAAACATTTCAGGGGCACCTGGGTGGCTCAGTGGATTAAGTGTCTGACTTGATTTCAGCTCAGATCATGACCTCATGGTTCATGAGATTGAGCCCCACGTGGGCCTCCACCCTCACAATGCAGAACCTGCTTGGGATTCTCTCTTTCTCTGCCCCTTCCCTGATCATACCATATGCACCTGCACACACTCTCAAAGTAAACATAAAAACACATTTCATTGTTACAGCAAAACTAATCCTAAACCAATCTGAGTAAGCAGTTCGTCTCATTATCTTTCCCTCTTCTCCCCCTTGACCATCCTCCCCACTCCCCCTTCTATACACAGATACCCCTCCCTCCTAATCCACATAGGACCCCTACAGTGGCTATACCTCCAGAGCAATGATCAGGTCCAAAACGTTTTTCTCTGTTCCTTCCCTGAATTATCCCTGACTTTGTACCGATTGGTAAGGCCATCAGTTTAACTTCTCAAAGTTAAAAAGTAAAATGCTATGGAGATTGTTCCAACAAGTAATTTTCTAATAAATTCATATTACATAATTAAAACAAAATGACAGTTCTTGAAGAGGTCTATTTGCTTTTAGATAACAGGATCTGGACTTAGACTCGTTTATTCATAAAACTCAGTAATTCCAAAGGGATGGTTGAGATTTTAGGTATTTTATAAGAATTTTCATGTTGCCTTGAAGGTGATATACCACTTGATTATACAAAATTTAAATGACTCTTCTTCCATGTTTACAATGCATATTGCAATATTATTCATTAAAACCAGTACACCTAGTTATTTGGTTGGTAAAGGAGCTCAAGAGTTCTCTCTCTGAGGAACTGAAAATACTACCTTTCTTTAAGTAATCAAGATAAAATAATCTTTTCTTATAACCTGGTATCTTTTTAAATTCTCCTAAAGCTGATATTATTATAATTTAGACATCTTTGATGTTCTCTTAGAAAGATTTCTTTTATGACTTAGAGATAGAAACAGTGTGGTTTCTTGGTTTAGAAATAGAATTTTAATATCTTATACTCTCCCCTAAAGGCTGTCTAATACTGCTACACATTTTGCTAATTTTGCATAATTATTTATAGTTGTACTGAATCAAAATCACACTGTGAATTCATAGTATGGAATATAGATTTTAAAATAAGTACATCTAGATAATGAGCAAACATACATTTATGAACACTTCTGTGTATTTCTTAATGATTTTTGAAGAAGCACACTTGTTTTTAAAAACCAAATGAATTAAGTATATCTTTGTTTTTAAAGTTTCTTACACAGCAATGATAAAAAAAAATTTATGTTATATGGAAACCAACTTGACAATAAATTATCTGTTAAAAAAAAAAAATTTGACACAGTGTTCATATTAAACTAACAGACTTTGTTATCAGGCCCCAAACTGGTCCTAATTCTGTGACTTCAGAGCTACCATGGAGGCAGCCCAAAGGAGCTTAAGTAAACACTTTCAAATTACGTAATGAAGTTCTGAAGGAGGAACAGCCCCAAACTGTGCCATATAGTTGTACAGATGCTATTTTTCTGTATGCCAGAATGCTTATTACCCTATCTATAGAATGACTTCACAGTAATGATAACATGAAAGAAAACTGAAGTAGGCAAGTCTATTTCTAGGCATTGTGAATGAAAGCAGAGTTAGGGCAATTATTTCAAAGTAGTTGTCTAGTGAATGTTTTTCTTAATCTTATAAACTAAGCTTTTAGGAAGCATTTTGAAAAGTGCTATAGTGAAAATGGTACGTTAAGCAATAAATTCAGTATGATTTCAATAAAGATATAAATTCAATAAATAAAATATGATATTACTAGCTTATAGTAATAATGTTCTATTTACCACTATGTTGATAATTAAATACAATCTTGCCTTTTTTTACTATGTAAAATAAATGTGGATCCTTCATTATGCTATTTTTCTTCACCTTTCTATGTGTTCAAAATATAATTTATTTTTTAAAAATACTGCCAAAGTCAATAAAAAATACATTTCTTCACCAACTGAGTTAGCATCATGGAAAAGACAAAGAATACCAAGTCCTTGAGGTAGTAAAATTATTAATATGAGTATAAAAAATGCAATTTTATCAAATTACACAATGAGTCTCCCCATCAGACTGACAAATAATGAAAATAAGTGTTAATAACTAGTGTTGCTAAGAATGTGTTAAAATTTACAATCACATTTATTACTATATTACCTTTCTGGGGTCTTAAAAATGTCCAAATATTTGATATAGTAGTTCCACTTCCAGGAACCAATCCTAAAGAAATAATCAAATACAAAGTCAAAGATTTATATATATTCAGTACAGCATCTATACAGAGGAAACAATCTGAATATTCAACAGTAAAGGAGTGGTTAAATGAACCATGGTAATCAATCTAATGGAATATTATGCAATTACTAAAAGTACTTAATGCAGAAAAATACTAATATTTAATTTAATGTACAGTTCAATTTTTTAGGCTATAAAATTATTTCTCCTCATTTATTTGAAAATATATTTATGCATATGCATAGTAAAAGGATGGGTAAAAATATAGCAAAGTGCATTAGATGTGGTTATGGTAATTTTTCTTTTTCATATTTTCTAAAATGAGCACAAATTATTTTAACAATCAGAAAAAAATCATTAAAAGATTTCCTCTGAAATACGTAAATCAAATGGCATATTTATATTCTTATATAACATGAGGATATTTAATAAAGTATCACAATCTATTTCTTTGTAAGTATTTTTCATGTTACATACTTACAACAATGTCTGCTTTCTAAAATTAAATTAGATAAGGAATAGGCAGCAAGTACAGAGTATTATGTGAATTGTATAATTTGAAGGGTAACTTTTGGTGGAAAAGTTGATTTAGGAAAAATTTAGCATAGTCATAATCCATCTGTAAAGCTATAATGACTGGATCTATTTTATAAGTTTTGTAACAGTATTTAAAAAACTTTTTTATTTTTAATTGTGGTTAAAAACACAGCAATTAAAATTTACCATCTTAACCATTTTTAAATTTACAGTTCAGCAGTATTAAGTATATTCACATTGTTGTGGATAATAGTGTTTTTATTGGTTTCATAAAAATAATACATGTTCACTTATAAATAATTTAAACAATATAGAAAGTTACAGGGAAGTTTCTAAATATCAGATCCCAGATTGTACTATCAATTTTAAATGAATATCATGTTAGGTATATTTCTATGTGTTTATACAAATAAGATAATCTATTTAAGACCAGAACATGTACTTTACATTTAAGTTAAAAGTATTAAATTTAAACTTTTAATTTGGTAGTGGTAAGATAAACTTAAGGAATTGCTGAACTTTTAGAAAAATGTTTCTCTACTACAAGAGATTTTATTTCCTAAAATATCTGAAGTTTAAAAAAGAGTTTGGAGACTTTTTTATTTATATATTTCAAATTCAGAAATGCTAATAGACTCTGCTATGAAAAATATATTTTTACATCATTACATCATTATTCTTACAAAGTTGAGGTTTTAATGTTTATTTGTTTTATAATCCTAATTTCTTTGATCATTTGGTCTTGATTTGCATTTTAATCCAGTGCTCACAACATGCCTTGATTCTCAATACCTTAGTTACTGAATTTTGATTCAGAGGTTATCTGCTCTTCACTAAGTAATTTTGGCGTTTTTTCCTACATGGATCCATGGATGCTTGTGTTTGCCTTTTTCATCAATTCTCAAATGACACTTATTTAGATATAATAGTTTGGGGTCATGCTGGCTTTGCCTTAAAACTGTGCAGACATTTTTCCTTTGTTTTCTGACTTTGAATATTGCTTAGAGGAAGTCTAAGGCCAGCATGATTTCCTCCTTGATAAGTCATTTAGATTTCTGCCTGGAGGTCTGAAAAGTTTTTCCTTCATCTTTATGGTTAGTAGCTTAACCAGCAAATGCCTCAATATTTAATATTATGTGTCCATTATTTTTCTGCAGATTCAGTTCTTTTGTTATTTTGTGGAAATTCTCTTCTGTTACATCGTTACAGTGCTTTTCCTGATTCACTTGTTGCATTATGTACTCAAGGAGATGAATCAGGCTTTATTATGTTATCTTTGTCTCACTTACATATATCTTCTTTGCAATTATTTTGTTCTACTTTTCCTCTACACTGACTGCAATTTAGTAAATTCGTTTATCAACTAGAATTTATTGAGTGCCAGCACTAGTGGAAAATAAGTACATATGGGGCGCCTGGGTGGCTCGGTTGGTTAAGCATCTGACTACGGCTCAGGTCATGATCTCGCAGTTCATGGGTTCGAGCCCCGCGTCGGGCTCTGTGCTGACAGCTAGCTCAGAGCCTGGAGCCTGCTTCAGATTCTGTGTCTCCCTCTCTGACCCTCCCCTGCTCACGCTGCCTCTCTCTCTCTCTCTCAGAAATAAATAAAACATTAAAAAAAATTTTTTTAAAAGAAAATAACATTCCTACATTTATGAAGAGCTTTTAGTTAAGGAGAAGGGAGAGAAATAAACAACTTAAAACAGTGTCAGGTAGTAATAAGAAGAACACCATGTAAGATACTGGAGGGATGGGGGAAGGAAGTGTTCATTTCAGATGCAGCATGGGAGCAGGCCTTTTTAAGATGACATCTGAGAAGAGATCTGAATGAAGTGAGGCAGTAAGTCAGGCGAAGAACTGGGCAATCCAGGTGCAGAAAAGAGTAAGTACAAAGGCCCTGTATGTGGGAAAGTGGTATGTTCAAAACAGAATGATTAGAGCCAAATTAGGGCCAGAAAGTGGTGAGACAGGAGACTAGAGAAATGGATAGGCCAGGTCACAAAAAGGGCTGTAGGCCCTAGTGAAGAGGTTGAATTCTGTTCTAAGTATCATGAGGAGCAGGGAGATGATGTATGCTTCAAAGGAGTTGTTCTGGTTGCTGCTAAGAATTTCAACAGCAATAACTGAGTATAAAGAATTGGTCAGTGGCACCTGGGTGGCTCAGTCGGTTAAGTGTCCGACTTCAGCTCAGGTCATGATCTCACTGTTCATGGGTTCGAGCCCCACGTCGGGCTCTGTACTGACAGCTAGCTCCGAGCCTGGAGCCTGCTTCAGATTCTGTATCTCCCTCTCTCTGACCCTCCCCTGCTCACACTGTCTCTCTCTCTGTCTCTCTCAGAAATAAATAAAAAACATTTTAAAAAAAGAATTGGTCAGATAGGTGCTCTAGAACTGAAAATGCAAAAAGGGAGCAGTGAAATAAGAGTAACTTCAGGAAGCAGCCACTACCCCTAGTGCTAGATAAACAATATATCATTTTGAGATTGTTTATATCATCTCTTCTCAGAGATAAGGCATAATCATCTAGGAGAAAAGAAGAATGACTTGACTTGGGGAATGTGCTGGGACTGCCAGTCTTGCCTTTTGTTGAGAATCTGATTTCCAGCCACATTTCATTTCTTGATATACCAACTGTATTTGTTTTGAAATAATAGTATTATTTTGGCCTTCACTGGCTTAGGTTGTGGACATTTTCTTTCTGTTTTTAAAGGAGGTTTTACTGTTGTTTGTTTTTCCTGTATTGTAAGGTATTTGGAGAGGGAATTTGTGCTCTGCCCTTACTCCCCATCTTTATATGGAAGTCTAGAAAAATGTTTTAAAATAGATTATAATTCATATTTTTTCAACTCACCCTATATATAGGACTATACCAGTAAGATGTCATAGTAATATTATATATTGTTATAATAGCCACCATTTACCGAATGCCAATGGTGCAATGCACTAAGACAGGGACTTTACATACATGATCTTTAAAACTTATAACAAGTCCATAAGGTAAGTACTACTGCCAGTTATTTCCACAAGAAAGCTTTTTTACTGATGATGTCAGATCAAAGAATCTTACAGCTGACCAAAATAAACAAGGTAAGAACAAATTTTTCTCTCTCTTGTGTTCATAAAAAATTAGTACATAAGAGGGGCACCTGGGTGGTTCAGTTGGTTAAGCGTCTGACTCTTGATTTCAGCTCAGGTCATGAGACAGAGCCCTGAATTAGGATAAATTCCTAGAAATGAGCTAAAAGGCCAATAGTTTTAAACTTCCTCATGTGGTATCAGGCTCTATGCTAAGTGTAGAACCTGTCTAGGATTCTTTCTCTCCCATTCTCTCTGCCCCTCCCCCATGCATGTGTGTGCAAACATGTTCTCTCTCTTTTTCTTAAAATAAATAAACATTAAAATAATTAGCACATAAGAGGGGCTCCTGGGAGGCTCAGCTGGTTAAGCGTCCAACTTCAGGTCAGGTCAAAATCTCATGGTTCGTGGGTTTGAGCCCCACAGCAGGCTCTGTGCTTGGAAACTACTTCAGATTACTGTCTCCCCTTTCTCTCTGCCCCTCCCCCACTCACACTATGTCTCTCTCAAAAAGAAACATTTTTTTAAAAAAATTAGCACATAAGAGACTGTTCTTTTTGAAGGACAAAGTAATAGTTTGTAAATGTGTACCACACAAACTAAGAGCAATTTTAAGGACTGCTTTTTGACACTATACTGTATCATTAAACTCTTGGTGGGAAAGGTACCAGCTAACTGACAAATTCCAGGAACTTGGTAAATTGAGGTGCTCTTTATCTCTATCATCCACAAACATGCTGAGAGACTGCTATGTTACACTCATTACTAAATTATATTAAACCATTATAATCTTATAAATTATAAGGTATGTATCAGTATTTTTTTGGAAACCCCATTATTTGGATTTAAATATTATCAAACTTTTCTATTGTTCAACAATATTTATATTCATGTGATGACACTGAAAACATATCATTGAAACATGAACACATATCTATGACAAGTAGTGGATTTCTCTTTCTAATTAGAAAAGTAGTACATGTAACTGAAGCAAATTTTGAAAACATGTTTAAATAAAATAAGTAAAGAAAACATCTTTTTCTAAAGGACAGCAGGAAAAAAATAACCAATAATTCTTTATTTATAGGCGACTGACTATTGAGGTTGTCATAGCTCCATGTAGTTTTTTAAGTTTATGAAGTTTAAACTATTTGAGTACACTGCCTTTTTTCCCTAACACTATATCAGAAATGTTTCCTCAAGTTATTTAAAACTCTTTCAAAAATATTTTCAGTGGCTGCATAATGTTCCTGGAGTAGTATTTCCTTAAGTGGTCATTTAAGGTGTTTTCCTTAGTTTCTTATAAGTAATGTCTCTGTGAACTTTTTATGCTTAAATCTGTTTTAGCAGTTCAGATTATTTCCTAAATTAGGGTAAATTCCTAGAAGTGAGCTAAAAGGCCAATAGTTTTAAACTTCTTCATATGGCAAGACATTTGCTGTAAAAAATTATTTTAATTAATTTCCTATACACGTACTGAAAATAAATCTAAGGAAAATAATTTATGTGGAGTACCTTTTAAAATTGGGACTGGGGGACCTGGGTGGCTCAGTCAGTTGTGTCTGACTTTATAATAGACCTTATAATCTACCATTATAATCTACCATTCATGAGTTCAAGCTCTGCACTGGGCTCTGTGCTGACAGCTCAGAGCCTGGAGCCTGCTTCGATTCTGTGTCTCCCTCTCTCTGTTCCCCTCCCGTCTCTCTCTCTCAAAAATAGACATTTAAAAAATTTTTTTTAAAATAAATAAAATTGAGATTAATATTTAAGTTTAGTTTTGGTATCTTGGTTTTAATATCTTACCTTTAAGGGAAAACCCACTCTTCAAAATATCTACTTGTTTTTGTGAGGTTCAAAACTTATACTTAATTTAAGGATGTAAGTTTAAATATATACTTATTTCAACCTAATGCTTCTATTTTTCAAGGCATCACCATCTCTTTTTTCCTATTTTCAAATATGCTCACCCAACAGTGTTGCCTCCTGACTTGTACATCATAGGTATATTACTAATTCATTGTATAAACGTACACATTCATCTGTGGATAGAAATCTAAATAAAATTGCAGGCCAGTATCATTCCCAAACTAAGCAAACTTGGCACAAGAGTTTTCACAGCACCTAAATTAATATTACAAAATAGTTCTACTGTGCTAGACTGAAATACAGAGCATATGAACAGAGCAGGTTTACCTAATTCTAAAACTGATATCGACTGGTGAAGGGATTGCAAAACTTGAGAAAAATATCCAGAAGATATCTAGTCTAAGTAAATAAAGGATTACTGCTTTATTAACTCACTCACCTAATTCTTACTGAACATCTTTTGTATGTCAGTCATTTGCTAGGCATTGGAGTCAACTGAAAAAAGATAGTGGCCTGTCCTTCTGGAAGATACATTCTAGTGGAAGAGAAAGACAAAAGCAAATGAATAAATAATAGTCCTAAAATAGTCCTAAACTGTAATCTAGTCACTTCCAATACCAATATTACTTAAGTGAGAAAAATAAATGATTTAGGTTCTACCCCAAGAATTTTTAAAGTTGTATTCAGAAAAACATTAAAGATTTAGAACTATTAGTAAATGTAGATATCTCTACATCCAGATACCCTACAGCTCTTTTAACACTGGTCATTGTCATCCCCTTGTACTCAGTATTTCCCCCTCCAAATGAAAGGATAGACTTGGATATCTAGAATTTAGTCTTCCGTTTATTACTCTCTTTACTCTGGTATGACCCAATCTCTGATGTACCATGTTGTAGTAGAAAGTAAAACTTTCCAAATTTGGGTAGTAAGAAACCCTAAGTTTTAGCAAGTGATAATACTAAAGGAATTGAAACCTTAGGTGAGACATTTCATTTTTGAGGGTGTCCATTTCCTTTGCAAATTGATGGATTTCAACTAAATGATCTCTAAAATCACTTCAGGCTTCAAAATTCACTATCTATGCTTCTGTTAAATCTATGTTAAATAAATGGAAGAAATCTGTTAAACATTTCTTCCATTTATCCTGGCGATAGAGAGGAAATGGCATGAGAAAGAGTACAGGGGTTAGAAAGAATTCCTGTTTTATAAGAATAAAGGATATATAGTTTATAATGAACATTTTTTCATGTTATTAAATAATTTTTAAAACATGTTTTTAATGTCTGCATAGCATTCCAATATATGGCTAAACCCAAAATGTATTTATCCGTGCCCTCATTCTAAAGATTTTTTTCCCCAATTTCTGCAGTATTGTAAAGGATATTTTAGAATCTATATTTGTCTACTAGCACCCAAAATACTATTATAGGCTTTCCTGTTTTATTCCTTTTGTGTGGAAAAAAAATCACTGTGATTCCTTCTTCTTATCTACTCTAGCCTATCCATGGCTTTCAGTTAATATAAAAAAACCTCCACTTTGGACAGTGTTATAGAGCCTGTTCTTTCTCCTTTCTATAACAGTATCATCCCTGAGTGAGGTCCATATTTCTGCAGCTCTCCTGCGGTTAAAGAATGTGAATTAAAGCCAATCCCATGCCTGCATCAAGTCAGGATGATGTATATTTTAGCTTTAAGGAAAACTGAAATCCATGGGATTAAAGTCCCAACAGCAGACAAATAGGCAAAGATTCATTTCTGTTAGCTACACCAAAAATGTGATTTAGTGTGTTAACTAGGAAGATGGTAACTATGACTTTGGTGATATTGCCATGATTCTGAACTTGCTATAATATTGTTACTCCACTGAAACATTATAGCATAAATATACAATTAGGAGAAATAAAATTTAAGGTAGTAACTATTCTATTTAGTTTTTTACTTTTTTTGCAATATGGTACATTATTTCAATAGATATCACATTCTGCATTAGCACTGGTACTTTTCTACCCATTAGCAAAGGAATCAGAGAGGTGACACACTGCTTTAAAATTACCCTAAAAATTATTCTGAGTTAAACACATTTTTAACTTAATAGTTTTTGTTTAGGAGAAGAATGAAACCTGTTGTGCCTCTTTGATTGCGAACTGGTGCAAGTTAAATATCATTTTTAAAAACTTCAAGTTACTATTAACAATCTCTACAGAATCAATTTGGAATCCAAAGCAATACTCATATTAACAATTATTTCTACTGATAGCTATGGACATTATAGTCTTCAATAAAATTTTAGTGACAGGATCTTTGAGGTTACACAATCCAACTCTCATCTTACAAATCAGAAAAGTAAACCAGAAAAGTTTTTGTTACTCATTGCAGTAAGCGTGGGGTGAGTGGGGATAAGCAGGGGATCCCAACACTCTCAGCCTAAAACATACCAGGGGGTATTAGGTTATAAGAACACTATACAGTAACAGTTGAACAAATCTAAGAAAGAGATCTGATTTACATCCAAAGTATACATTTACCCCCACAGGATTCTTGTTGGATGATCCACTACACCTTAAAACTGTTAGCTCAGACGCGGTTCGTGGGTTCGAGCCCCGCGTCGGGCTCTGTGCTGACTGCCAGCTCAGAGCCTGGAGCCTGTTTCAGTCTGTGACTCCCTCTCTCTCTCACCCTCCCCTGCTCACGCTGTCTCTCTCTCTCTCTCTCCTAGAAATAAATAAAACATTTAAAAAAAAAAAAAAAAAAACTGTTAGCTCAGAGACAGAAAAGAAATGCCGTTACACAAATTGATGCTTGTGTGCAGTAAAACCCAAGAGAGAAGTTGGAGTTAGTTTCGCAGAACTGCGTTGTTGCATAACTACTGGGGTGACGATATATACACATATATATACACATACACACACATATATCCATATGTATACGTACCTGTAGCTTCTTAATCTTGCTTCAGGAAATGCCATTTACATATATTACAATGTAAATAGTGCATGATGGCTGGAGTTGTGCATCATAGGGACACTGAAAACATAAGTTTTATATATTACATTAATTAGGGTAGGCTAATTCCCATAACAAATCAACCCCAAATGTATAATGGTTCAAATTATATTTGCTATAATAAACAAGTTTCTTGCTAAAATAGACAAGTAGTTCAGTACTTAGTTTCCAAGGTTTTCCAGTACCTAGGCTTTCAGTACCAAACTTCCAAGGCCTCCCAGGTGGACTTGTCTGACAGTCTTTTAGAAGGGTAGTATTTTTAGGAGGCTCAAAAGTTGTGCATAGAACTGCTGTTCTTATTCCATCGCTCTAACTTGGTCACATGCCCACACCCAGCTGCAAGGGAGGCTGAGAAGAAGTTTACCTGTGTGGCCAACAAGAAATGAGAACATAGATTTAGATGTCTAGCTAAGAGTTATTGCTCACTTAGGTGCTCTCTCTGTGCACACACACTCCTCCATACAAAAAATCTAAAGTAGACACCAAAAAAATAAACACATGATTATGCTTCAAACAGAACAAATAAATAGTGAAAGAAAGGGGCTTTATTTAAGAATTGCATTCCCTGGGGAGCCTGAGTGGATCAGTCAGTTAAGCGTCTGACTTCAGCTCAGGTCAAGATCTCACGGTTTGTGGGTTCGAGCCCCACGTCGGGCTCTGTGCTGGCAGCTAGCTCAGAGCCTGGAGCCTGTTTCAGATTCTGTCTCCCTCTCTGACCCTCCCCTGCTCACGCAGTCTCTCTTTCTCTCAGAGGAAAAAAAAAAAAGGAATTGCATTCCCTCCTACAGGTAGGCCTGTTAATTAATGCATAACAGTAACCAACTGGCAACTGAAATATAAAAAGGAGGGAAAAAAGCAAATTTTTGCAAGTATTACATATATACATACACACACACACACACACACACACACACACATATATACATATATTAGTTGGAAGTTGGCTTGGTTTTCCTATCCCATTAACTAGTCAAATTCAGAACTAAGACTCCTGTCTAATTACTTGTTTTAGGGACATAAGACCACCAAGCTCCCCTTTAACTACACTATTAGTAAACGATGTTTGAAAAATATTTAACTTCTTACACAACTAAGATAGCAATTCCATAATGAAGGCAATAATTAGTGACGTTGTTTTTCCTTTGGATAACTTATCATTGTAATCCTGAAACTGTTCTTAATCACTCAGTTTTTAATAGAAGCACTGCATGGCTGCACCTCTGAAATCATAAACAGGAAGTGTGATATATAAATGTCAGTAGAACTAAAACTCAATTCTATGGTTTGATATTTTTCTTCCCCCCATATTTTCAGGTTAATATCTGATTAACCCTCTTTTACAGAGGAGGAAATGGGAATGACCCAGAAACTGCTATTAGTTTGGCATCCTTAGAAATTTATTTCTTATAGAGGTTGCCCAAATTTATTATTGCCAGAATACAGTGTAGATGGAGAAAGAGGCCAGAGAGTGTATGACTCTTAATTTAACTCTTTAAAAATCCATTATAGAAAATACTCTTAAACTTTGTACATTCTTTTTCTTTTAAGGTATCTTGTTTTATTTTTTTTAAATTTCTTGAAAGTCAAGTTAGTCAGCATACAGTGTAGTATTGGTTTCAGGAGTAGAACCCAGTGATTCATCACTTCACTTTCTACATTCTTATTCTGACACCTCAGCAAGTCCTGGAGTGTGTTCCACTATGTTAATTCCTTTATGAGACAGCTAAGGAGTAGCTTGAGTACTCCAAAAATCAGGGTATTATATCTGGTTCTTCCCAATGAAGACATTAGGAGTCTTTTTAAGGTTGTTGATATTTTCTATATAACATTGTTTCAGTTTCTTTGCTGCATGGACATCTCTACGGAAATTACAAGATTCAAACTGACCAGGCAGAACATTGTTTTTTAAGTTCATTTATTTATTTTGAGAGATACAGAGAGAGAGAGTGCAAGTAGCGGGGGGGGGGGGGGGGGAGACACAGAATATGAAGCAGTCTCCAGGCTCTGAATTGTCAGCA